TACGAGCCCAGCTCGTGCCAAACAAACCCCCATACTGCTCTAAACTACGCGCCCAACTCAAGAAGCCAGCGCAAAATTGTATACATCAAACGTGTATAGCCGGAAAGACACACTTACGAATGTGCGCGCCATGTCAAAGTCCGAAGCTGAGCGCCTTTGGGGGCGAAGTTAGAGCGTTAGATTTTCATGTCATCCCTTTCAATCAATACAAACAAATACAACAGCAACATCACTCTAAGCAAAACAAAGTAGTGGTGTATTGAACGCTGAGCACCTACAGCACAAGCTGTTGCACAGCTGGTTTCTTACGCTTCGATACGCATGCGTATGAAGCGGTATCGCAGAAGCTGTAATGTATTTTTGTCCAGATACCCAAGTTGCTCAGCACCGCAAAATAGCTCAAGCACCAGGAGCACATACACCCCACAATTGTAAAAGTCCGTCTGTACACCTAGGCCAGGATCGTAAATTGTACTGCAATATACACTTCTTCTTGGCGCCAGCCTTCAGCAGCTCAGTCACTGTCCCAACGACTTCTGGTTCCAGAGCTATTCGATTATGTGGGTACTGCTCAAATATGTGCTTGTGAAGAGGATGATTATGCTTCAAGCGCGTCGAAGTAATCCGCAGAGAAAGTGTAGGTACCGTAGTATCGACTACTTGTACGCAAGCACAAATCTACGTACACAACACAAGCATGCCATTAGACAATCTACCACCCAAATTACACCCAACTAATACAATGGTACCCAACTGAGACCCAACTCGAAGAATCTACATATATCGCACCTGCACATCGCATTCAATAGACCTCGACTGCTGTCGCTTCCTCTTCCCTGTCCTCGTGCATTGTACTTACCAGCATGGGTACATACAAATGTCTTGCCGTAGTAAATTCATTCATCCGGAAGAATTGGCTGCTTCGAGCCGGGATTTGCTCGGATTATTTTGTTCCTAACCTCGACTTTGTTCTTCGTCCGGACTCTAAAACACTATTTAGGCACAATAAACAAACAATCCATCAGTAGTTATGCCACTTGTAATGTGAATCCTGGCTAGCAACAATAACAAATACAGTCAAGTGTACCTGATACGTTTCCCTTGAATACTGTTGAAGGTAGCCCTCCAGGCCTTCCCAAGAATCAAATTGAGTGCGCTGAAGGGGTGGTGCCTGTGTTGTTTGCGATGTGGAGTCGCTCGAATCCGTGTGTACTGTGCTGGAAGTGGCCGACGACTCCTCAGTTGAATCTATCCACTCCTCATCGCTACACACGATACACTGAGGCTCGAAGCGGTCGCTTCGTGGGCTCCCCAAGCCTCCAGCACCGGCTGCATTTGACGCGCAGCAGCCCGCGCTAGTGACTTCCATACTGCTCTCGCTGCCCCCCTTCACTTTCGAAATGAGTGGTAGTTGACAATGATATACACGTATACTTACTTGACGGATATCGAAATTTCTGTCGACCGGGCCTCTTCTGGGGTAGGGGAAAATCTGGTCGCGATTTACGACGCTGAGTTGGGTGCACTACTCACTTCCTAATATTTTAGTACTAGCTCAGATATATATATATTATAAAGCAGATAATAGATGGTATTTTATGAAATTTCCCCACTTAAGTACGTTTCTTGCCACCTTATCTGCTGAGTGAGCTAAGGGCCTACCAAAGAACTCTTTCGGTCAGGTTCTCAAACAGTGGTAGTGATGGCAGGTGTTGTAGCAGCTGACGACAAAGGTGCTGTAGCCGCAGGGGTTGCAGCCAGGCAGACGAAACCAATCCGCAGTGGTTTCAGACCTGGGTGAGTGTTGCATAACGGATAACGGCTGTAGAAAGGCGCAAAAAACTAACTATTAAGTAAATTTCATTTATAAATTTTATAATTAGAGCTGCGACATCGATCAAAGAATTTTTAGGCTGAGAGATCGCACAACGACGAGCGCCCAACAGAATAAAAAGAGACGATAAGTCCATGGTGGCCCTTACCGCTCCGGAAATGCCCTCTACCCCCTGATAGCGACTATTTGGTGCTGCAGGAGACGCGAACGCAGATGTCCGTGCAGCAAGGAGGGCAGGGTGAAGAAACAAGGTGACAAGTTGAGGCATTTGGAGAAGTGCATCGACGACAGGAGCTCCTCGCGACGCAAACTGAATTCCTTCAAGTTCAGCACGACCAGCGGTCACACTAGGTCGAGAGGCAGGTGAATATGTGTCGTTAGATTGAGGAGCACCGACGTTACAAAGAAGACTAGTACAGTCTTCTGAAAACTGCACAGGAGTCTGTGGGGCTGCAACGAAACGAATAAAGAGCCTAGCTAAGTCAGTGAGGCCCCAAAGCGCTGCTAGGTGGGGAGTGTTTGCACAGAACGACACAAGCGAGTCCGAAAGCAAACCGACAGAGGTTCCAGCCGTCACCGTCGCGGCAGGAACCAACCTGCCTGTACCTCCTATCTACAAAGGCAGCTCAAAAAGAGAGAAAAAGGAGCTCGTGGACAGTTACATGATCTACAAGAGACGGCTTCAAGAACTCAACCAACCTACACACGCAAGGTTCTTTGTGATGCCTGTAGGCGCTTACATCGTGCAAAGCACTTAAGTTCGAATTTGTGATTTTGAATTATTTAAGACAGACGTGTCTGAGGCCAAGCGGAAAGCGTTTTTTTTTCAGCCCATGAACCTGATTTCACAGCTTATACGAAGTTGGGGAGTGAGGTAAGGCGCTTTGAATGGACATGGATCTACAAGACGCTGAGTCGCGGATTTTGCGATTGATGGCTGAGCTCTTCACAATCCTCAACAAGCTCAACATGGAGGAATATCGTGCAGCAGGATCCTAAGAATGTGATGAGCTATCTAATCGATGCGATTTGTCCTCCTGTCTTCAAGGCGGTAGTGAGCGATCAAATGTCACTGCCAAGTCGAGTGTCCAGGCGTTTCTAAAGTGGCTGCGGTCAGAAATGGAAGCATTTATGCGATTCGAAGTGCACATTGAGGCTTCGGCACAGGCTAAAACAAACAGCTAAGCCTTCCAGCAAACTACCAAGCCAAATGGTGGTCGGTCCGGACAGGACGACAAGAAACCTGGATTCTCTAAAACAACTACGAATGCGGCAAGTACTGCAGGACAACGAGACAGGGAGTTAAAGCCGGACCAGGATGCGAGAAAGTGACCTTTTTGCTGTCGCGACTGGGGATGACAAGGCTGGGGTAGAGACCGAAGAAGTTAGTGTCCGATGCTCAACAGGTGCAGCCTGAGTATGACATGTCGGACATTGATGACACTGCAAAATGCGGTGTGCAGAGCGTTCTGGCGCTCGCCGGCTCAGCTAAGGCGCTTCCGTTGGCAGCCGAGAAAGAAATTTTGCTCGAAGAAGAGGAGTATGCATGTTTTCCACTGTGCAAAGATGCTTGTGACCCACCACTGAATACAGTGATGGAGGTATTGTACGAAAAACAGGAGGAAGCTCGGAAGGAAGGAGCCTTGTGATTATATGTGGAGCAGTTGCGACGTATTCTTATCGAGCGAAAGAATGCATTTAAACTAATATGGCTGAGATCCTCCGGTCGACATGCCACCAATGGAGGTCACACTGAAATCTGGAGCTCTTCCCTTAATGTGCCATACCAGGCGATACTCACCGAAGCATAGGAAATTTTTAGAGTAGCACATTAAGGAGCTTGGCCCCAGGAGCTCAGCGTGCGTCGTGGACGGCCGCAAAAAAGTGGTTAGTCTGTCCTATACGACCTCACAGGTTTGCATCTGTCTACCAAGCTCCGCCATGCCGGTAAGACGATCGTAGATCGTAATCTTGATCTCAAATCGATGGATCTGCTGCACCACGATCTTCGCCGCCGGTTCCGTCCCTGCGGCGGCTGCAGCGCCAATATCGACTACCGCTGCAGTCTTGCGTCCCCTACAGCACCGTTGATATCACTCCGGCGAGCGACTGGATGCGCTGTCTCCAATCCGTCATCCTTGCTACATGCAAACAATTTATGCAACAATTCGAATTCGCTGAATAGTGTTCAGGTTGGAGAGCCAATTTAGCAAGTCCTCGGTGCGTAGTAGCCTAATTCCAGCAATTTATTTGCTTAGACGCGCCAAGCGTCACTATAGCGATAGCGATGGCGCGCTTCAGGTGGAGGCGCTGGTCTAAGGACAGCCGCTATTGCTTAGCTATAGAGAACTGCAGAGCCTAACCGAAAGCATGTCGTCCTCTGGTCTATAAATGAAAGTACATGTAGTATCGGTAGCCGCTGCAGGGGCTGGAAATTATAAAAAGTTATTGTATTTTCGTTTTCAGGTTCAGTAAAATACATTGCAACTCAATTACATTGCAATAAATGTATCAACTCAAACTTGAGTTATACTTACATTTTGTAAACCACTAGATAATTTAAGAGTATCTCCAGCGGTAGTGCAAAAAACGCAAAAATGACCAGAATTACGCAAGTACAAAACATCGATCTCCAACGGTGTAGTGTTGGGGATAAAAAAGCCCTAAAGTATCACTGCAAAGCGGTTGTGCACTACGGGAGCGTCGTATTGAATATAGGTCAATTATTCACTACGAGCATCCCGTAGTGCACAAGTAGTGCGGCCACCATAACTGGTCTCGTAGGTCATTTCCTTAACGGCCCGACCTCAAAATAGCTTGTGTAGACCTAGAAATCATGCATATGCTCCATATATTTTGCATTATCTTCGCAGTTTGAGCCGCACGGTCGAGCTGCAATGGGTACTCAATGAGTGCCCACCCACCCTCAGGGAGCCATATATATCGGAAAATGGCATTCATCGGCAAACAAGTTCGTTGTTGCCTTGTAGAGGACTGCTTTCGCAGAGTGCACTACGCCATTTCTCTCGTACCTTTGGGACGCCAGACCTATATTAGTAAGGTTTCGAGGCGGGCGTTACCTTCATTTTCCCCTCAGTCGCCTAAATGTGAAGGTAAGGCTAGTGCCAATTGCGAAGACATTTCAAAATATTAGATTCTATAATCGCTAGCCACGCTTAGCTAGGAGCTCCAGTAGCTGCATAAAGCGGCTCTCACTTGCTTGACAGTCCAGCCTCTCTTTCCTCCATTTGTATCGGCGAGCCTGCAGTTCCTTCTCGTTTTGGTCCCGCAGGAGTTCAACTAGCTTAGCGAAATTGGCCCCTTTCGACGGGCTGTCAGTAGTGCCTTCATCTTCATCGCCACGCTGCCACTTGAGACGGTCAGCCGCAACTTTGCGAACCGTCTCGCCTGCTGTCACATTTGTAGCATTCTATTTAGCCATGATTTCTTTCTTAGCAGCTTTGTCGATCTTACTATCATCGATTTTAGCCAAAATCTCGTTTAAAACGGTATATTTTTCAGTGTGAGACCCAGTCACACCTGACAGCTTAGATGTATCTCGGTTTTTTCTTTTGTGCCACCGCTTAACGAAAAATTACAATGAAAATATAATTAGGATACAGGATGATAGAACCACATTAAGTATAATTTAGTTGCCAACCTAGAAGTGCATCGACGCGATTCTAAGCGGTCTTACCGGTCAGATTCATCCGAAAAAGTCTGAAAAGGCCGTTACCTTGCCATACTCTTGAGAGTAGGGCTCACCTACGAGAGCTAGCTTGAGCAGCATCACGCTCTCAGCTTCCGAGAAATTCTTGTGTTTCGGTATCTCCGCCATTGAAATTCTAACAGTGCGATTGCGAAGCTAACCATATAGTACAGTGCTCGATGAGCGAATGATTGGTGTAAGGGTAGAGGTGCTCTATCCGCACATATGCGAGCTCCATCAGAATTTGACTGGGAGGGCTAGTTTTGCTCGTGTTTACAAATGTGAAGGTGAGGGAAGTGCAAACGCGTTTCGAAACCTGTCTAATGAGCAAACTTTGCTTTTCGCACTTAACCGCGTAACTGGAAACAAATAGCGTTGTATCACCATACACTGGTACAAGTATTGTGCTTTGCAAAGCTTATGTCGTTTACCACTAGGGTGGGTGCTCGATTTATAATAAACCGGGGTCATTTTAAATATCGAGGTTATAAAAAGGGATAGATCGTCCAAATTATAATGGCTAAAAAATCGAGCTACGACAAGCCAAATCAAGCGCTCGTGGTCGATTTACGACAAATCGACATCGATGTATTCTAAAGCTACCCTTTTTTGCGCTTTTGAAACGCAAATCGAGTGCAGATATGATTATACCAGACATGCCTTTCCTTTAGCAGTTTTACGCCTGTTTTTATGCGCCAACCGTGCTCTATCTAGGGACAAAATACCAAAAACACCTTTCAAACTGATTGTTTGCATCCACAATTCATCTGTTCCACTTAGATTTGATTGGGACATTACTATTAATATGTAGAGCGCCAAAAGCTGCACATTAAATACACCGCTGTCTATGGGTACATGCAGTGCTTGTGTCATCGTGTGTGCCACACTACGGGCACTTGATATCGTCCCGGCACAGGCCCCGCCAGACCGATAAGCAGTGGTAACGTTATCGTGGCACTGCAGAACGCTACAGGGGTATTCCGGAACCCCAAAAAGCCTCATTAGCACCCTCGTACCCGTAGCTAGCCGCACATACCCAGTATTCGAACCAACGCTACGTTTTTGAAGTACAGCGAGCCCGAAAGGGCAGAGAAGATGCTCTCCGTTTATATGAAGGTGGTTGAGGCGCTGTAAAAGACCCGCTAAGAAACATGCGCTTCCTGTGTAGACAGAAAAAGCTGCAGACACCAGTGAACTATGAGGGAGAGTGTAACAGCGCCGGCAATCTGGAGAAAATCGCGCGGTGCTAGCCGTGCAAAGCGGTGGTGGAGCATTGAAGAGGTGCGGCATTGTGTGTCATGATCAATAGGCATATGTTGGTGGCGGTCGGAGGGTGAATTGGTAGGGGCCGCTCCACTTCTAGCTGTTACGAGTGAATGACAGAATGAATGAGTGAATGCATTAGATGCTTCAAACGCTCTAGTCTAACTGCAGTGCGCTACTGTTACCTACAGGTCTGCCAGCCCCTTGCGACTCGCTTTCGAGTCGACGAGATTTGTTTCTGCCTCGGTAAACAAGACGTGCACCACCAAAGAAATCGAGTCTATCCCTCACTGAAAGACCGTAAACGAGGTGGATGTAGCACCCGGCCTTGACAAATACGCGACACCCGCACGTCTGCTTCTCCACATTAGCCTCCCAGCCAGCTCCAGGCCTATCAGGAGTCTTTACCCGAGCTTTTTGCGCTGAGATGGAAGCAGTAGCAAGAAGAGCTTCCTTTGTTCGTCTGTCCTGCGGGTCATAAACCCGCTCCATTGTGTCAGACAAGACGTAGACAATATCCTTTGGCGCCGGTGGAGTTGCCGTGCCGATTAAAAAGCCGATGGTGTGCTTCATCGGGAATACTTCGCGAATTGTGCCTGCTTTCACCATTTCACGAGCACGACGAGGCACATCTGGACGGGTTTGAGCAGTTGTAGCGAATGTCTTGCTTAAGATGGCATCAGTGTGGACGCAAAGCAGTAGCTGATCAATGAGAGTACCCATTTTTATCCGTGATCGGAGCGTGTAATCACGCTTGAATGATTGCGCGATTGAATTGCTCGACAGGATTATTAGTGGCAGCGAATCCACGAGGTGTGTGGTGCGCTTGCCAGTGTCTGAGCGGGAAGCCAATCCAAGCACTGGAGAAGTAGCTTGCGAAGGCAGAGAGATGCGATACGGTAACATCTGCTAGGCTTCTGAGCTGCGTATGCGAATGCGCTCGAGCTCAGCCTCCGAAGTAGAGTAGTGCATTGCAGCAATATCTAGCCAGGCTTCTTGTATACCTTGGCACCTACTTTATAGTAGCACATTAGATTAACGAGCTCATTGCCGTCACCGAGCGCCCCGTTGACAGCTTTTCTCTGTCCCTTGTCCGCATCGGCCATTACGTAGCGGACAGAGATCTGCTTGTTCGTAACTTTAGTATACAGGTGATGCAGCATTGCAAAGGCCTCCGAGAAGTGTTTTTCGGTTTGATGTGGTAGAATCACAAATCCAACCAGGTAAAAAGAGCTCATACAGTCTGAGATCCCAGCCACCAGGTGCGGGTACTTCACCTGGCTCAACGTATTTGTTGAATCGATGTGTAAGACGTACGATCGCGGATCGCGGTCTAGCCGCGTATGAAATTGCTTTGATGAAAATGCCCACCGCAAGCAGATCTGAGTCCGAACCGCGGCCAACAATGGGTTCTTCATCGGCAGATGAGTGCCACGTGAGCGTGAAAGCCTGCAACGCTTCCTCCTCTCCACGGTACGCATGCTCACTCATCTTGTCTGCTACACTGTCATGAAAGTCGCTTCCACCAAGGTGGGCGCGATGGTAGTGTTACACAAAGGGCTGCACCTTTGCCAACGATGGCAATTTCGCTCCTCCGACTTCAAAAGACGGACGATACAGCGGAATATCTTCATAGGTTTGTGATTGTAGGTGCACATATCCCGGGCGCAGGCCTTCATCTCGGACGAGGTGGGTGACATGTGTTTACCCGCCTCCAGGATGTTCAACACGTTGGACAAGATGCAGATCTGCACCTTGTCCTTCCATGGACAACGAGCGTAGAAGCAACATCCTTAGCTTTGCACTTGCACAGAAGTAGATTTGTGCGCAGGTTATGCGGGACTAGCTCCGTACACAACGCACACGAAGTGAGGGCGCTTTTGCTCACAACGTAGGCCTTGAGCGATTCTACCAGCATGCTGCTGTCGTGGGGCGATATATCCGTAGTAAGAAGGGTCCAGACGATCTTAGCGAGGCATTGAGCCACAGGAAGGGGCTCATTGGCCCCGTTTAGCTTCTGTGTCAAACTGGAACCTGGAACAAAAGTTCCAAGCCTCCAAGTTTGCTGAGTGGTTAGCATCCATTTGACTGGATCCCTTGCTCGACGACTGGTCAGTTTGGATATAGAGTCTCGAAGGCACAGAGGCGCGCAGTCCAACGCCACTTGGACCAGCCCGGCTCCCTTACACTGCGAGTTCTGCGCCGCTCTCTCCACCTCCCGTCTTGCCCGAGTCTACGGCAGGTGCGTAGCAGCTCTACAATGATCAGTACGTCGTTCTAACCTTTTGTATGGCGTTTTTGGTGCTATGAACAGTGAAAACCCGTGCTGCTTTGGTCGGCATTGCCTACATAGGTGAGCTGCTGTTGCTGACAGCTATCTAAACACCGTAGCAACACTTTGCACACGACGCGGTTACCTTATTTCGCAGTGGAGAGCAGTATCATGGATCCTGTTTCGTGCTTGGCAGCTGTTGTGGTGTCGGAGATGATGAGAGCACCCAGATCCTTCTACTTCTAGAGCGGTGAACCTGCTCGTACAGCAGCATGAGATGGAGGTGGACGTAGTTAGCGGGTTCTTTCGTCCACGAGATCGAGAATGGATTGCAAAGGAACGAAGTAGTCATTGGTCTCAGATGCTCTTCTCATCAAGAGTGTATTTCGACTCCAGCATGAAGGTCCTATTTCGCATGGATAGCAACAGTATTGCTAGCCTCTTCAGGACCATTTGCGCTGGGCTAGTGCCGTTGCGAAAGGCACCCGATGCCGTTGTGCCGCCAAAGCGTCTGCGGTGTTCCTATACCTGTGCGCACACGGCTCATCAACTCGCGTCACGGCAGATCGCTTTGCCATCGGCCCAGCTACGGTGGCCGGCATCGTAAAAGAAGTGGCAGCTGTTGTGTGTAGTTTGATGGGAGAACTGGTGGCATTTCCACCGTTTCGACTTTGCGCCTCCCATATCGCTAGCGAGTGCGGCATTCCTCAGATCGTAGGGTGCATTGATGGATCTCACATACCAATTGCAAGGCCAGAGATAAATGGGTCGATGTACTACAACAGAAAGTGTTGGTATAGCGTTGTTCTACAAGCTGTGGTTGACTGGAGAGGTAGATTTTGCGATCTCGACTGCAAATGGCCTGGACGTGTCAGAGATGGTCGCGTATTTCGCAACAGTGCTCTTGCGCACTCATTCCCAGCGATCTCAGCAGCATCAGAGACTATCACACTTCCCACGGGAGTGGACACTTATGCTCGTATCCCGTATTTTCTACTTGGTGATTCAGGCTATCAGAACACGAATTATCTAGTGACTACCTTTGAAATTGCTGAGACTGAAGCAGACGAAATCATAGCAAAGATGAACAAGAAATTGAGCCACGCTCGTTATCGCGTAGAGTGCGCGTTCGGCAAGCTCAAATGTCGCTGGCGTATTTTGCTGAAAGGAATTGATCAGGACGTGCTTGATGCTCCCGACATCGTGTTTTCGCTTTGCATCATCCAAAACTTTCTCAAAGACAACAATGATTCATACCTTATTGAAGAAGATGACTGGCGCCAGATCGTACGGAAGTATGAAGCTCGATTTCCTCAACCCGTTGAAGTGAGTGGGGAGCATCTAGCGAAAGTACACGAGATGAGCTGAAACGATGGTTTGCATTCAAATTACGACAAATGTCCTAGTAAGAAATGTAAAGTTTAGCCTAGAATCACTGAGCGCTGTTGTTCGTCGTCAGAGCACTCACGAGAGCTCCCAATAGCTCCATGTGCTGGGAGTGCTGCTGTCGGCGTTCTTTCATTTCTTCTTCCTGCCGTTTCTGGGTACGTTCAACCAGCTCTGCTGATCGTTCCTGGAGAATCTCCCGCATCTCATCATACTTGTTGGGAGAATCTCCCGCATCTCATCATACTTGTTGCTGCGTTTCCTCTTGTTGTTTCTTTTTCCTGTGTTGTACGAGTCCTTATTTTCATCAGCACAGTCCGTGCGCGCGGGAACACCAAAAATACTGCTAGTGTCGTCACTAGTAGCACTGTTCGTGATATCTTCTTTGTTGTAGCGAGTTGTAGCGGCGTAAGTAGACTCTAGCGGCTCGGTGTCGACCTGCCGGCCAAAGAAGAGGTGTAGCTCATCGTACACGTCCTGGCTCACGTTGGGGCTCTTTACACGATGACGGTCACTGCAATACGCATGTAAAAGCTTAATAAACATACCAATGTGTCATCATAAAGACGGTTTGGCTACTTACCGAAGCTCCTTCCTCTCTTTCTTGCTCAATTCAAACCACTTAGGCTTGCCGGTGCTCCCTGCGATCCTATTGGCATTAACGTCACTAATAAAGCGATACATTTCACGGAGGGCCTGCAGCTTGTCTTCGACGGCCTTCTTCGATCGCGTGGAGGTCGGGAAGGCTGTCTTATACTCGTCAAAGATTTTTTGGGTGATCATTTTCTCGTCCTTGCGACGCTCTCCTGTCATTACTTTCTTCCACGCTCGCACAAGACCAAGCGTCGTTTCCCCTGTCCAGTTGCGCTTCTCGAAAGGCGCTGGTTTACATTCCGCATCGTTTTCGGTGCTGGTGCCGTCGACGACAACAGCTGCATCCTCATTCTTCTGCCTACCCGGCTTGCTAGCTTTCCCCATTCCTTCTCGAGGGGGGATCTTGTTGTGCTGAGAGAACGCCACGAAGAGGCGCTGAAGAACATTTAGTTTTGCAAGTTCCAGGTCTCAGGAAGCTCCTGACGTCACTGAAACAAAGGCACTAAAGCGCGGTGATTCTTGGAACTTTTAGTGGCATTTTCTCCTGTTTCAGGGGAAATCTGGCGATGCTAAACACATTTCCCCTCGAACCTGGAACTTTTTTTCCAGGTTTCAGATTCAAAAGCTTTGCTAAACAGCACCATTGGCAGCGAGGGTGATACTTGAGTAGAAGACACTGAAGTGAGCTTTGATCTTTACCGTAGATATGTACATGTGTGCACCTCTCATTCGGTAAAATAGTAACGTCTACGTGATGCAATTGTATGGTTGCTGCATAGGTGATGTGTGTGCGCTTTTATAAGCTAGTAGAATGACTGGCGGTGGATACTTTTTAGTTGCCGTTGGTCGGTCAAAAAGTGGCAATCGATCATTATTGGTGCCAATGATGTGAATTGTATGCATATCGTTTTTTCAAGGTTATTTTAGCGCGTTGTTCTATCTAGGCCATAAAACCGAGCGACATTTCATCTGCAAGGCACAATACTGCCCTCACGCTGACAATGTGAAAAAAGTCGACGAGATGAAAATTTTAAACTGCCGAGAAAGAGAGAAGGCTCTATAAAGCATGTCCATGTGGCGTACCTAGGACCATGCGACGCATGATGCGTGTCCCAGCCTCCAAATTGCAGGCGTGACGGACCGTTATATTTAATTGCCAAAGTTGGGCATCTCATGTCGAGCCTGCAGACCGACAGTATCCTCTTCACCTCGTCTTGCTGTCAGTGACATAACGCATGCAGGAGCGCCTCTCGTACTACTACTTCGAAGCACACTTGGATCTTCACTCCCCAGTCGACTTGACTGCCGAGAACGTCAACGTCGGGGTCTTGGAAGATTACGGCACCGTAATTAATTTGGTGAGAACAGCCGAGGATCTCTAATAAAGAATAAAGCCACTTCAATTACTATACCAAATCGTTTTGACAAAGGTTTTTCATATTCCGTGCTCAAAATAATCTTTTAAATATAATATCACAACTTCAGAGGCGATTCCAACAAAACACTCATCCACAACGTCATCACTTGAGCATTTACCGACACACTCGTCGATGCTCGGAAGACTTGACTAATAAATACCATCAAAATCTCCTGCTCCACGTCCATGGACCCATTCCAAGTCTCAACCGCCAACTTCACTGTCAAGGCGAAGTGTCAGCCACATAATACGCTCATGGTCGTGGCCAACCGCCAGCTGCAGGTCTGGAACGGATCTACCTGTTGGCCGTCGAGTCTTCAGGACGGCTCATTGATGGATCTCGTTACCGACCCCGAAAAAGAAGTTGTTAACGACGAATCTCCGGCATCCTCCGCCTCAGGTTCACCTTCTCCTGTGCCACAAGAACCCGAGAAAAAAAAAAGATACAAGAAACGCAAGGCGACGCACACGATTCGAAAGGAGCAGAAGGCGGTTCTGGAGAGGGAGATCGCGGAGCTTCAAGCCCAGCTTGAGGATGTTAAGTTCCGGGCGCTGGTACAGCAGGGCAAAGTGTCGAACTCCTACCATGACCGAGCAGTAGAGAACGCGGTACTTAAAGAATCGATTCAGGAACAGCATTTCGTGATGGCGCAGGTGAGAGCATTTCTATCGGGTCAGATGCAGCACCAAATGAGTGGAGTGAGACCCATGGAGACCAAGATTTGTCTCAGCGCAGATAGAGAGGAAAGACGACGCGTGCTACATGCTCTACGAGGGGTTAAACTTCGAGAGGCCAGAAGGTTCTTGCGTGCACGAAGCAGTGGGATCAAACCGAACACTCCCTACTTTCAGGAAGAGCGATACGAATCGGCGGACGGGGGGTTCTGTATTGCCCGGTTCGAGATCACTCCGCTACACGGTGTGAAAGGAGGCGTCCGCGCTGTGTTTGACGCAGTGCTCCAAGCTGCGTTCAATGTCGAGATCATCATTTCCGAGACGTCAGGCAACATTACAGTGCGCGAGGACGACGATATGAACGACGAGAGGGTCTCGCAGATGCGACTCGTGTCCCAGACCAGTCGAGGTGTCCTCGTAGAGAACAATTTAGTGCATTTTACAGAGTACTCTAACACAGAGAGTGGCAGGAGCGGCAGAGACTGCTATGCGGTCACATCCACAGACTTCGTAGACGAGGACGAGCTGTATCCGTACAGACCGCGGGAGCGCGTTCGACGTGACACGACGGCCGCCATGTTGGTGTCGTACCTGGACACACCGAAGCAGAAAGCTGAAGGCGAGGACGAGCCTGTCGTTGTCCTCATGCGCTGGGCCTGCACGAAAATCTGCCACACGGACCTCAACATCTCGCATGGTGCCGTGATGGACATGCGAGAGACGTCGATTCGATCGCATGGCACGTATCTTAACACCTTGCTTCCGGACGGTACTTGCCCAGAACGCGTAAGCGCATGTCGTAAGATACGGTATATCAATGTTACTACGTATTTGTATGGGTGCACTTTTTGACGTGAGGTTAGGTACATTAATTTTCAACAGGTTTTTCTTTCAATGTCGTAACTCTGACGGGATTCAGCGACAGTATTGCCTGCTCAATGTCGTAACTGACTGCAAGTGCAGTCAACAGATGGCTAAATTGCTTCACAGGCAGTCCACTTAAATCAAGAAACGCAAGGACGAAGGTACGATGGTTCAAGAAGCTGTGTATTTGAAACAAATCACTAATCAACTGACACGCAACCAAGCTCACTCGTCATCACTACCATTATCGTTGTCACCACCGTTGCCGTCGTCGCTGCCAGCATCGTGCCCAAGCCGAAGTTCCCGTCGCGTCTTCTTTCTTTGGCCAGCTTTCTGGCCGGGCCGACGGAGCACAATGCGCTTCCCTAAGTTTGGTGGGATAGCTTGCCCGGCGTCGAAGTCATCATGCCAGATATCATAGCATGTCTTCGCAACGCCCTTGTATTCCCGTCGAATACGGTTGCACAACCAGCATTTCGCATTATCAACGGAGCAGCATTCGCAAAAGAACGTTGTTGCGAAGGACTTCTTCTTTTCAGTACGCAAGAGCGCGCAGACCTTGCACGATCTTTGCTGGCGTTTCTGGACCCCAGTAACGGTAACCCAATCTTCAGACTGCTGCAGCGCGTGCGTGAGGCGTACTGGGGTGCGCTGGCGCTTTTGGCTCGCAGGAGGCGGTGTTGCCTCCACTCCAGCAAAATCTTCGGCTTTGAGTTGGAGAAGTTGATTTTGAAGGACGCAAAACCACTCTGAGCGCTTCATAGCAGCCATCCCCTTGATCTTGGCCCCCTCTTTGTGCGTAAGATACGCATTTACCATGACCATGTCCAGCAAACCTAAGAATAGGCTCTTATAATATTTCGTGAACCTCGTCGACATTTGCAGTGAATACGACTGGAGACGGAGTTGATCGTGGACATCAACTCCGCTCATCCAGTTCTGGTAGTCATTTACAGCAGAGGGGCACGGCACTCGAACCGCACCGATACGTTTTATTTTTCGCTCAATTGTCGACGCCGCCATAATGGAGCCCGTACAGAGATAATAGACGGGCTTCCGGTCCCACCAAACACAGGAAATCATGGTCGGGATGGCGATAGAGCGAGAGAACGAGAATGTACCGTGGGGTATGCTCACTGGGCGTGTCTTGCTCGTAGCCCTGAGATTCGGGTTGAATCCAAGCCGGTTAGTCATGATCGTGCCAATAACATACACCTTCATACTCAGGAGCTCAATCGCAAGGAGCACGGACGAGTAGTAGCGATCGATCACGACGGTATGCCACTTGTGACGAGACTGGGCGAGACAATCTTCAAATTCCGTACCACGGCTGCAGCTCCAGTCTTAAAGTCAACTGAGGTGTCAGGTCCACCAGCAGATGCACGCTTACCCACATAAACTTCGAACCTAGATAGTTACGACATTCACTGCTGTCAGGCAAACACAAAGTAGATAGTTACGACATACAAATTTTAAACGTACCTGTGGCAGTATGCCGTCTGCGCGTCACAGACCATAAATAGTTTGGACCCGTTGCGGTGAGGCTTGTCGGCCATGAACATCCGGGTCGTGTTCCGCTTCGACGTGGACGGTAGTATACCCTCATCAAACGAAAAAATAGCAGAAAGAGACCACCCCAGCAAAAAGCGCTCTTGGACCTTGTCAACAACAGGGCGAAGTTTCCAGAGTTTATCGTTACCGTGGTCAATCGTGTTGTCTACGAAGTGCAAGTCTCGCATGATACTCTGGCACTGTCACGCGTCATGAACCGCCCAAAAAGACCGGCGGGAACAGCACCGTCTTCCACCATACTCCAGTGCGCACCAAATCGTTTCTTTTGAGGGCAGAGCATCCGTGCAACGAGGAGTCCAACAACGTGAAGAATCTCTTGTGTAGAGTATGCTGCCTTAGCCTTCAAACGACGTGTAATCTGCTTGATAGTTTCACGCCGAAGGTCAGTCTGCCGTGCCTGAATGTTACGGGCGCGCTTGCCAGCTTGCTGTAGACCATATCGGTTCGTTTCAGCCGCGATAGAAACCCACAGAGACTTTGGCATGAAATAAAAGAAGGTGAGGATTGGCGATCTCCATAATTGCAGCAGGTCGGGCACAGGCCTTGCTTCTTCGGTGCCCAGTCCAGGGTACGCAGCAGCATCTGTCTCGTACTCCGAAGACACTGGCGTCCACTGCATTCCTCGTAGTGTCTGCTCTCTCTCCGTTGCAGCGGTTCTGCTAAGTGCGTTATTGCCCACCTGTAGTGCCGCAATGAAAGCCTTGTCCATTTCAACTGCGTCACTGTCGGACAGGACGTCGTCATCTTCCTCGGACATCCCGGCTCCGGAATCGCTGTTAATATCACTCATGCCGTCGTCGTCGCTGTCACCCGAGCTGTAGTTCTCGTAGTCACTCGGCTTCTCCCCATCCAGCAAAACATTCACGTCCTCTTTGCCTGATAACGGCGTAAGTGTCCGTCGTCGAGGTTGAGACGCAGCGGCTTCTTCTTCGTCTACATCACCCTCGCTCTCTAATCCAGAAGCCTCCGAAAGTAAATGCAGTCCAGCAGCGGCCTCGTGGGCACCGCCGTCTTGTAGATCTCCTGGGGATAGATTGAATGCTCTGCTCACTGCAGTCTGCGACAGCTCGATGTCATCATCACTTGGGGTGCCGAACATTCGATCAATAGTATGCTGCGAAAGAAGGACACTCGTGTCGATCTGGGAAGGCCGAACGACGTCTTCCCCCTCGTGTTGTTGCTCTTCACCACTACTACCAGCTCCTGCCTGGTCTAGTTCCCCACCTCCTTCATCTCGGACTTGAGCATCAGCATCCGCCTCTTCCAGCAAGCCACTGTCGAACGCGTAGTCCACGACTGATTTCTCCCCCACGAAGACTTGCGTGTTGTCAGGACTCGAGTAGCTCCACTCAGTCTGGAGGCCACTCGGACGCTTGGACTTCCACCCCGCCGCCCGAAGCTGTCGCCATAAGTGGCCAAAGTCAATATCGTGTGTAGCGGCAGCCGGCACGGCGGGTTTCTCGCGTCGACTCTTCCGTATGCGCACCATCCAGCAAAATGTCGAATGAGTGGCTGTTCACGACGTGGCTGATCCCCTTCCCCTGGCCTGGTTTTGACCTGTAGCAAAATGACCTCTCGCAGATTATATTTTTGTGGTAACTTGATTAAAGTATTGAAAAAACTTTCCGAGCCATTTGCTAATGACCTTCGTGCAATGTCGTAATATACGACGTAACAAAAATAATATGTCGTCTTATACGACGTTCGTAAGCAAGGTGTTAACTGCGTCAGAGAGGCTCTAGGTCTACCTACATAATAGAATTTGTGATTACGCTTTTTTCTATCCATTAATTTTTCGGCAACCTGGTAAGCTATCCGAGTGGTAACTACATGTTATGTATTTCGCTGGAGCACAATGGTCCTTGTCACTTGCTCTTCCGCTTGATCGGTTGGCTTCGTCTATCATTCCAAGGTCGACTGGCTCAAACTGCACGATGAACGACGCTGTGAGCATCGCAGACCTGATAAACGTCGTGGAGTCCGACATGACTGCCACGTCACCGACCCGCGTCGCCACGATAGCGTTATGGTCCTATGGTTATTCCGACGCGAGTGACAGCGCGCGAAGTCCAATGAAAAAGAAACGCATCTACAAGAAGCGAAAGTCTACGCACGCGTTACGTAAAGAGGAGAAGCCGTGTTGCAAGCGGTGGTCGCTGTATTGCAGGTTGAACTAAAGAACCTTGAGCTGCAGACGTTAGTGCGACTCGGTGAGGACGATATTGTGCTAAATAACGAAGTGGCGCACAACGTCGTGCTGCGTGAGCTTATCCAAGAGCAGCACTTGGCGGTGGCGCAAGCTCAAGGAATGTTACTGGGCGACACTCGTCCTCCTAGTAGGAGGACGAGTCCAACAGAGATGCTTATTGACTTGTCAGAGAGCGTTGAAGGACCCAAACTTTATTATGCCAGAAGGTACATCCAGCATCGCAGTTTATGCATCCTTCCGCTGAATATTATACGTGTAATTGTATATTAATGCCTCAGACAGCCCATTCACTTTGTTCTTTCACTTTTGTATTTTGCATTACCGTTGAATCCGGAAATGATGCATATTTATAATGTGCTGATGGATCTATATTCAGTTATTCCGTTTAAAATGCAATGTTTTTGTTTTTTCCTTGAGTTTTTTTTTTCAACCTCTCATTTGCGGTAAAATGAAAATTAAGCTAAGTCCAATTAAAGATGCTGGGCCCGAGGGCTTTGTACTTACTCAGGTGACTTCAGTAAGCATTATTTGGCGGATTCGTTCAGCTTTTGAAATATCTTGACAGAAGCAACAACGACGCCAGCTGCCGCACCAAGTAACAGTGGAACACCGAGAGCTTTCGACCACTTTTCAGTGAGCCGATTTTGCGACGATTGAGTCGAAGGTGCTGACGGTTTCTGCATTAGGTGATGATGAAACGCGGCAGCTGGCAATACGACCGCTTCCCTTCTAAGACGGCGAGCGCTTATATCAGAGGTGATACTTCTGGTACTGTCGTAATACAAACCACGGGCGGTGTCGATCAGGGCGGCTTTGGTGCACGTGGTGATCGCGTAGAAAGTAAGCACCATGGCAGCCAGCGAGCAAATGCCGCGCATTTTGGCCGATTACGAATATAAATCACAGATGTCTTTAACTTATAGCTACACAAAACTTAGGGTAAAAACACCACCGCAGGGATTATTTTAGAGTAAACTTGATATTGCCCAAATGACAGCTTGATACGAAATTCTGGAGGCGTTTTGAATGCAGGTGCACTTGTATTTATTCTAGTCTACGAGATAATACTAGATTTAAGTCAGTTGCCTAACCTATAAGCGATGCAACTACCTTGAGCAAACACAAAACATGTTTTTAGCAAATTGGACTAAGTTGTAGTCTGAGCTCTCGAAAAGATGTGTCGGCAACGGGTTTGCAGTCAATCATTTCTTCATCAACAAGCTGGACACAAGAAATGAGTCACCTATAATGGTAGTTGATAATGTGAATATTGGTACCATCTGTAGATTTTCAATACTCTATACGACCGATTGCCAGAAAAATAGTCAAATCCTAAGGTTACAAAAAATTGTTCTTGTAACATCACTAAGTATTGGAGCATGCAGGTAATCTATCAGTCATTTATTCCAGAAATCGCTGTTTCGCTATTCAAACTACTTAAGTTCTTTAATGTTATTAAGCAGCGCAAAAAAAACTATGTCACTTACATGATTGCGTTGAAAGCACACGCGAGTTGCCTATCTAACTTGCTGTTCCACTAACGAAGGAAGAATAGTTGCATGTGCACCAATAATCATGTCACTTCTCGTCGATATCGAGGGGATATCATGCGATGAAGTGCATGCCCCCCCCCCGCTGTGTCACGCATCGATATCGCTGCCCCGTCGCGAGAGCGCGAGTAGCCCCATGACTCCAGATGATCTACCTTTAGCAAGTCATTCTGACAGCTAATTAGATGAACTGAAAATTATGACATGCCCCAGGCGAAGTACGATGACGGCGATAGTGGCGAGCATGAGGACTTCGGCAGCTTTGGCTTCAAGCGATTGCAACCCGCCGCTAAAGGTTATATTCCGTGCAGAAAGCCCATTATTGCATGCTCAAATGACTTGTGATACTGTAGCATTTTGTCATCAAAATCCCACAATAATGCAAACGAGATTTAAATGGATAAAGACTCGTAGCTTAATTGATACCGATCAAAAGTGAATGACATACAAAGTTGATTGCTGGAGTCAACTACTCGGATTAGATGTTTAGAGGTGTTGACACTCCCGGTACAGCTCCTGTGAGCAGCTAGAATGAGTTGGAACTTCCAACTCAGAAGGAGACCCCCCCATCGAGCTCGGTACACCGACAAGGAAGTCTCATCATGGCCTAAGTGTATTACCGTACCAGTGCAAGACGTCGCGGCACAACAAAACGACTGATTTCAGACTCGTCAGCAACTTGGACTTACCAGTAAATTGTCAAAATTATGCTCAAGTCAGGATTGATCTATTGCTGATAGCTTTTTCGGAATTTGAATAGATTGCCTTTTTTTTAAGAAAAGTTACTCCAAGCTTACCTCTTTACTGCTGCGATATCGGTACAGTATTGTGCTGAGGGTAAATCGGTATTCACCAAAGTTAGAGGATGCACGCGCTCGGGTGTGTTGATTTGTGGATTCACCAAGAAAGCAATACTAAGTTTCGACATAGTAGCCGGGACAGGATCCAGCGAACGTGGAATATTTCCTATTACCGTCCGACACGTCGCTACTTTGCTCGTCTGGTCCACGCGTTTTAAGTGTGCCTTGCAGCTACCTCTCAACTGGGCAAACTTCTCGCACCCGTCGACGAAGCAACGTCGACCTCCTCCATGCGAGAGACAAAATCGTTTGTACTGCGCGAGCTTGCTGCACCCGTCGTGGGCACACCGTCGACCACCTCCATGTGCGACGCACAGACCATGACTCTGAGCTAGCTTGTAGCAGCCCGATCCACGACATCGAACACCTCCTCCATGAGCTTTGCATAGTCTGCGTGTCTGTGCTTGCTTCTCGCAGCCTGTAAAACTGCACAGGACTGGCTTGCGACGGCGGCTTGAAGGTGGCATGGCTAGCTGGGCTACTAGTGCACCGACAGATTGTCGGCGACAGTTCCGACTCGTGAGTGCATGTACGATATGTATTGAAACCAACATTATGCTCAGCGTCACGAACCTTGTGATGATCAGGCCTCCCAAGCTGTTTCCACTGGGTGGTCGATCATCACGCAATCTTCGGACACAAATAAGACTAAGCTACTGAATAAATACAGTAAAAGCGACATCGACCTGTGACCGTAGTGTTATCGTTGCTGGATCAGCACGATACTGCAATTCGGTAGTAAGTTTAAGCACTTTACCGATTTAAAAACATTTTTTTGTTAAAAAAAAGCGGTAAGCTTTTCACTGTGAGTTTCAATCACAATTGAAGTTAAGCCTATTTTTAACAACTAATGAAAATAAAGCCATTTTTCTTAAAGCAGGGTACATGACATCATGTCATGAAAGCAGGGTACATGTCATTGACATGTACCCTGCTTTAAGAAAAATGGCTTTATACATTGCATTCTGGAGCAAATTTGATATGTGGTCAACATAAATGTCATGTTGAATTTGTGTGGCATTTTTCCAAGCAGTTTCACTCCCCAACCATGATGAGCGAGATGGACGCAGCGCCGACGTCACGCTTGCGTCGGCGCAGCTTCTTCGAGGGCATGGAGAGCGAAATCTCGGCCACCGAGAGCGTTACGCTCAACGAGAGCGACTTGGCGTCCGCAGCATCGGCGTCCTCTTTGCTTGGCGACAGCGAGAGCTACGGCGTAGCAAATGCGCCATCGAAACCAGGCAAAGTGGCTCCATCCAAACAAAACGGCCCCAAGACGTCGGTGGAAGACCAAGAGCTACTGCAGCTATCTAATAACGCAGGTCGAGGTGAACGAGGACTTAAGCTGCTGCAAGATCTATGGAGACAACTTATGACATGGCTACAGTTGCTGTATGTTCCATGGGCTGCCCGATTCCCAGTCGCAGCATCTAAAGTGGGTGAATGGAGACAAAAGACCGCATGGATCTTAAAAGGTCCCAAAGATTGGGTCAAAATGTGGAAGGGAGACCCCAATGCCCCAGTTAAATACTGGGTTTATCCCACCCACTGGCTCACTTACGCCTCCATCAGCCTCGTGCTGCTTCAGATCCTTATTTACTGCAAGTTCCAGACTGTTTCATTTGATCTACGCGTCCACGAGTGTGTATTCAGAGAGAGACTGCTAGCTTCAGCTGATCTGATGCAGCGTAGTGCAGTGCCCAGTACCCACATGCAGCCTCGCGCAGCAGCATTGAGGTTCCTGGAACGTCGCTTCGAGCAACAATACAGTCCAGGAGCACGGCAACCTGGCCAGGCCAGACTGCCGTGGACATGTCTAGCTGTCATTCCTACGGGAAGTGACAGAGCTATGGCTCAAGCAACCGAGTTGGCATTCTTGTGGCCTCGAAGTCAAGTTGTGGCTGCAAACGCTCACTCTAAGATCGCAAGTAGGGTTCACGTCGCTGTGGGCGCCAGTCCACTCGATAGAGCAGCAGAGACACAAGTTGGGGTGTTTGCAGCCATGTTCCCATTAAGTGCGATGCGTCCAGTTTTATTTGCTTCTAGATTTCCAGATTTAGTACTGGTCAAATCAGAGTTTGCACTAAAGCAAATGCTGAAATTCCGTCAAGAACGACAGGAAGAACGCGACCATCGAGGACGAGCAGGCGTGGGACGGACTTCGCCTGTTGATCTGGGCACCGCGGACCTCGCCGCGAGTCATTTCGGCGTTTATTTGCTGAAAACGACCGTGCCGGATGTGTATAATCGACATATCCGGAAGAAATGGGACGAATTTCTGCATGTTGTAGCGGTGGATGACGCGGACAAGAAGCAGCAGCTCACTGAAGAACTACTGACTGCTTGGGTGGCTCATCCTGCGTGGCCTATGCTCCATGTTCGCTTCGAGCGGTCTTTAGTGTTATGTGGGTCATTTCAGCGTATTTTAAGCAGTATGGTCAAGGACTATGAGGCTGATGCTGAAGCTGCAGAGGCAGCCGAAGCGGCAGACCCGAACCGGGCTGCGGAGGAGTGGCTGGAAGGCCTGGATAGCCCAAAGAAACCAGCCAAGAGACCAACTAAACGCCAACTTAACGTGGACTTGGTGTGCGAAGAAGACGCCAATTCACCTCAGGAGATTGTCAGGCTGAAAAACAGCATTGGGATGCACCTGTTCCCCGTTCCTCCGGAGCTGGAAAAATATGAAGAAACGGTGCTTGAGAGCTTAGCCGTCGGTGCTGTTACAGTGACATACAACACGCCGATCATGCAGGAATGGGTGCCTGATAGCTGCGGACTACGCGTCGGTTCGTTTGACTACGATGGGGCTGATACAGGGGCTGTAGAAGGAGATGAACAGCGCGATAGTACAGCGCTAGTGAAGCTGCCGTCGGTGCACGTAACCTCCAGTGAGATTGAAGAGACGATTGAGCAATTGTTGACGCTGGACCGAGTCAGTCGAGTGGCGGCAGGGCGAGCAGCTCGGGTGCACTATCTGCGGATGCGCACACACTATTTGTCAGCCATAGCAGCACTGGATGCCGCCGTGTGTGAAGGAGATAGTGATGATCTGGGCGAAACACAGAGCGAAATCGGACAGCATAGACGCAGGAAAGTCGAAGTCGAAACCTTGCGAGCATTCCTGTACTAAGACAATTGCGACGAGTATTTTTCATTTTTTTGCAAGGATACTTAGCTGAATAGTTGGTACTGAACTCCGAAGCAGTGATCGAAAAAAACACGACGTAAAATTTTTTTTTTAGCGGTGTATTACTGCAATGGAGAGCTCAAAATTCAATTGCTACATGTATTGCAGAGATCTTGCAATTTGCCCAGGTTATTTTAACATGCTTACCCTCCCCCCCCCCTAGAGCTCATACATGTAGCTAGTCTTGTTGCAATAAGAATACGGTATTATTAGATCACTACCGGTACATGTTTTTGATACAGCAATTTGCGCACTTCGGGTTGCTTCGGATATTCAATATGGGAATATTAAGTAGTACTAAACTACAGCTTTGATCACGAGGAAATCCTACAAACACTCACAAAAGAGACATGCAACACCCAAATCATCCTCAGGGCACCCAGGTAAGAGCTTTCATACAACACGTCGGGGAGAACGTCCTCACAACACCCAAGCAAATTATGTACCACCCACACTATACTACTAGCACCATAAACCTCTCTTTTTGCATCTTTGGACAATTAATAACACTGAATAGAGTTTGACAGCACTCAAAGTGAGTGTACTAACACTGAAATCCTTAATTATTATAGCCATTCATTTAGCACCCAATCAAAACTCATCAGTAGTACTGTACACAGCGGAGGCGAGAGCAGCAGGTCGACGAGCACCAACAGCACGGACAACAAGAACCAGCACCACGGACGACAAGCACTAACAGCACATAGCGTCAACGACGAGTAGCACGGACAGCGAGCACCAGCATCAGAACAACGAGCGCCGGCAGCATTCTCGGCAGCAGC